TTGATTTTGCCAAAGACGGCGACATTGTTATAAACAATCTTCACCACAAAACAGAGGCCCATAATCTGGGTAATTACAGTCGCACAAATCAAGGTATCAAATCTCTCCCAGTAAGGTTCTAGATATGTTTAGTTTGGAAAAGAACTATATGGAATTTATGAATGCCATATAAACATGAAGCTCAAAATTGGTAAATCAAAAGCAAAATTTCCATTTCATTTTACTACTACTACTTGTGCTGTTTTTCCAGCTATAAGAAACTGCTTGTTCTCACAACCCTTCATTTCTTTGATGATTTTCTTGCTGTTTTGATGTGGGATTTTGAGAAGATTGTTTCCTTGGTGTTGTTAAGACTGGATCTTGAATGATTTTGGTGTGTTGATTAGAAAAGTTCTCTGTAAGTTTTGTTGAGCTTTGTAATTTTCGCTTTATATATGCTCCGTTTCGCAAAATTCGGAATTTTATCTGCTCCCAGAAGTTGCCGCGATTCTGTTTTAAGCTATCAACATGATTTCTTCAGGCAATTTTAACTGAGAAGCAAAAGGGTTCAAATTTTGGAGTATAAAAATTTGTACATTACGTTTTCTGAAATATATATTAGTCTTCTTGAATTCAATCAGCTCAGAGCTCAGTTCAGGTGGTTTTTCATAATGATGAATTCATCTTCTCCCTAGTCCAACTCAAAAGCCAATTTTTTTCACTTCCCTGAACCTCATTGTTTTACTCAACTTCTCAACTTGAATCATTTTCTTTCTTTTTCCTTCGATTAATTAATTTGATTAGATAAAAAATTACATGGATGGCTTTGCAGATTGACTTTGCAAGATTTTTACTTTGAAGAAGTTGAAGATTTGATGGCAGATATGCTTCAGCAAGTTCGTGTGACGGGCGAGGGGTAAAAGAGTTTTCTCAAATCCAAGCTTGAGTTCAAAGTAAGACAGAACAGGGTTGTTGGTCAAGCTGCTTCTACTGAGAGGCACAGATGGATGTTTTCCGATGCTCATCTCGGGAATGTGAGTCACTCAGAGGAACATTATTGATTATTATAGTTTTGTGTTTCAAGGCGTGATAAAGCATAAATTTTGTTCCGCCAACGCTAAATAACAACCCCATTTGGTCAACTATTTTATCAATATTCTGCAGGATCGTTTTGAGAATTTAATAAATTCTAACTTTTGTGGGAGTTGTCTTTCTGTTCAACATAATTAACAGTGTGAACTGTAAAGAAGATTATCCCACTTCACTACACCAATTAAAGCTCTTGGAGTGGTTAACACTTTGCCTCAAAGCAACAGTTTTTTCAAGCTTACAATGGGATGGGCAATCTTTATTTGAGCACATCATTCAGATAAGATGTTCCCTTATAATGAAATCTGTATTGTATGATCATGAACACCACTTGAACTGTTGAGTAGGGAATTTAAAGAGTGATGCAAGCTAATATGGAAGAGATGAGGAGCGCGTGAGTGCTGGCTTTAAAAGGAACCGCGACGCATCAACTGAAGGCATTTGGCTGCAGAGTGCACCTTTAAAAGGAACCGCGCTTGATGGATCTGAGTAAAATCTTTAAGTGCTGGCTTACGATATCATTTGGGCTGATGCATCTGATCAAAAGGTTAGTGGCTCCCCTGCTATGCTTCTTTGTGTGAAACCCCTTGGCAGATTTTAGCTTTATGCTTAGACATTAGAGTGGGCATAGTATTCTCCAATGATCAAGCCAGGTAGCAAAATGTGTCTTATCTTTTCTGCTGAATGTTCCCCACCCATTTCCTTCAATGTATTCCTTTGTATGTTCTGCAACCAAACTTGGGAACAAAAAGAGAACTGTTCCAATGCATCTAACTATTATTATTTCATCATTTTTAGGGAAGATATAGTCTCAGATATTCTCCTTGGATGTACTCCTGTCCTACCATGTATAGTCCTTTGTAAACAGGTTAGTTTACATTATGAATGAAACAGGCTGAAAGCTAAAGAGAGTGTCCTATCAAGAGAGGATTTAATCTAGCTGTAAATAGCTTTATAATGAACAACGGCTATGCAATATACAAGGATTTTCATGCACTGCAGCTCACTTGTGCAAAATTAACTTTACCTTGTTTGGTCTTACTCTTATGCAGGACAGAAAGGAGGTTTTTTCCGGTCATGCTTCGAAGAAATGTAAAATTCTCCTTGCACTGAAATTCCTTCCAGTTGAAGATGACATCAGTTTTCTGAAAAAACAGCTAAAAGCTGCTGAGGAACAATCTGAACATTTGAAGCTTTATGAAGAAAAAGACTTTGTGATGCCCATCAAAGTTCATTTTTATTGAACCAAATTCAGTATGTAGCTATTTAGATTCCTTTCATCAGGTGAAGACCTAGCTGATGGCATGGTTCTTCCAATTTTCTATGTATCATGCTGACATACATCTTATTGTTTTCAAGGCTTCGAGCTCTATATTTTTGCATTATTTTGACTGAGTCTTGGTTTTTTGTTTTGAAATTTTTAGAAAAGGAAAATTTGTTACATCGAAGGTGAATCTTCCAGCTAAAGAAGTACCCTCCTAAGCTCCAGAGCCAACACTAGGGATCAATTTTGCTATGATGAGATGAACCATAGAGATTGGCTTTTGCTGGTTGCTTTACACACTGATTGTTGGTTGCTCTCCATTGCATTCTATCGTGGTGCTGGCTCAACAGAAATAAAAGGTTAGTTGCTCTATGTCATTATTCCCTGGAGAGTAATGATGACTATCTGAATCCTGTGCATTTCTGTCTTAGGCCCACGTATACATCTCTGTTAGTGTTCTGCTTGCCATACATATGTTTACCAGCTGGACAGCTTGATATCTTTCTTAGAGTTTGGTACTTTGGTCATTGGTTATTAGTTTTTTTCTTGCTTCTCTATCTTCAAGTTTATTTTGGCTGAGTTAGTTGTATTTGTGAGCCTTTTTGGTTGCATTTTATCTTTAATCAGTTGTGGAAGTTGTTATTTTATCTTCAATCAGAACTCAGAAGTGTTTGCTTTCATAGATGTTTTCAAACAACTCTTATGTGTACCAATATTGATGCTGTGAAGAGATGTTGATCCTCTTTAATATCTGGGATCTAGATAAATACTTCAGATATTAGTCAGTGTACTCTTTGCGAGAAATTATTTTCAATCAATAAGGCTTGGCATCATTATTTACTTTTAGTAATGTCATACTATTGATGCTCTGGCATTGAATATTGCTTTAGAGTTTCTGTTGTAATGCGATTGGGTTTTGCACTTCTGACATGCTTATGGCTTCTCCCCTTTTCTCTTAGTATCTAGAGACAAACTTTATTTTGCATCTCATCTCTTTCCCTTGTCTTTGGGCATATTTGGGAGCTTGTTTGTTTGGTAAATTAACCGACAATAGTCTTGATGGATAATGTGGCTTCTGGACAATGTGTAGCCATCACATCGTGCTTAATTTGATCTGTTACTTCATAAACAACCCTTTCTTTAGTTTGCTTGAAAGATTGAAAATTCATTTGTGCTTATTGTGATGATATTTATTTCTTTCGCTGGTGTTGGGTTTACCTTTAACGAAGTTACCCATTTTTTAAGTTGTTGAGGTTGCTGTTTTATGAAGTCATGCCTCCGGGAGATCATATTGATTACTGAGTAATTAACACTATGACTTGATTATTAACATCTCTGGTTACTTTAGTTGGTGAGTTTGTTTGTGGTGCTTTGCAAATTTGAATTAATGTGCAAGTTGACTATTATATTACTCAGTTTCCATCCGAAATGCGTTGGTAATTAACCATCTTGTATATACAGATTTCAACTTGGGAAAGCTTACCAAACTGATGGAGTAATTTTCAAATTTTTTTCTGCTATGAACAAGATCGAGAAAGTTGAGGAACTTTCTGCAGAGATTAGTCCTCCTTGATTCCATTTCGTGATTGCTAATCTGCAAAGTGCTTACAATTTTGTCTTCATATTTGAATAATTGCAAAGCGCAACCAATTTTGTGCTTACAATTTTGTTCTTATTTGACGTGCTTTCTATGTTTGGGTAGGCGATAAAGCTAAGCCTCTGAAAGAACCAAAAGTTGAGAAGAAAGAATTCGATAATGTACAGTACTTAGGTTGATGGGTATTTTGTGCTTCATTTAGGATTTCTTGGTTATTTTCAATCTAGAATTGCCGAATTCAGGGCTGATGTGAAGCTACCTGCTGGCAATGCAAAGAGAATACATGTAATAGTGGTGATACTGTAATTTTATGCTCTTCAAAAGGATGAATAGGTATTATTTCTGCCGTGAGATCATTAGTGGTCCTCAAAGAGAGACCTTTGTATGCAACAAATTTTTGTTCACTGTTTTAACTATGAAGCTGAGGCGCCAGTTGTTTTGGGAATGCATTGTAGATGCAAGTCGCAGTCGGCACCGCAGCCATGAAGAATGTTCTCATCCCTAATAGACGACGTCATGAGAGGGATTACCATTTTGACATCCAAAGCAGGATAGTGACTTTGTACAAGTTGAGTTATCAGACTCTTGAAAATGGAGTTAAAGTTGTGCTATGCAGCACTTTTAATGGTCTCAAACGTTTCAAAATGGATACCCTAGACAATTACTGGTTATTTTAACTACCTTGATCATGAATGGTGGTGTTGTTTTATGAGACGCTACACTGATTAGCAAATATACAGCAGAAAATATACAGAGAAGATCTATTGCGAAAATGATTTGGCAGAAGGCATTTTTTAACTAACAAAGTGCGGTAATCCTTTTAAAACGTATGAAAATATTAAAACCATAAAAGTTCTTAAAGTCATTCGAAGATGCACTGGTTGCGCAACCTGAATAGACCTAGTCAAATTAATAAAACATATTGAAAACACTGCAGTATAAATTATTACATTAAACTCAGCATATTGAAAAGACAGCAGTACAGATATTACATCAAACCCCCTTGCAACATTTTAGTGTCACCAAAAAACCATCAAACCTAGCAAATCAACAAAGACAAGCGCTACCGCATCACCATCCTTCTCCAATAACCACGGTCCTGATCCTATGACGGGGCATGTTCTTGTGAAATTCCTCCATATCGTCCTCAAGGAGCTTTTCGAAGCCATTACTTCCTAGGCGGCAAACTTAAAAACAGCGAAGAGAAGCACACATAAGAAAATAAATATAGAGAGAAACTAACAGGCAAGAAAGACAGCAGCCAGGAGATTGAAAACCATACCACTAACAACATCCCCATAATGAGGAGCTTCATAGGCAGTAAAGCATATAGCCATTTTGGCCAAGTCGGCAGCTTTGGTTACAGAACTTACAGACTCTATGCATCTGCGCTTCCTACCAAAAAAACCGTAAGGTAGTTTGAATAAAAAAAATCGACAGGAAAAATAGCACCCAACACAATGTAACACAATGTAAATGAATTAAGTAGGAGTACAGGGGAGAAGGGAGCATACTCAGAGGGCAGGCTAACTTTGTCTTGAATTCCCGGCATAGTGCGTATCATACTACAAGAAAAACCAGAAACGAGTTTGATTAGCTCTCAACATAATTTAAACGAATTACATAGGAACGCATATAAGAGATGAGAGCATACTCTTTCACCAGGCTAACAACATGTGAACCAGATCCAGTAGCAAGAACATCACCTTTAATAATTTCCCCATTACCTTTCACCTTATACAGACCACACTCCTGGACACAGTTAAGAGACTAGGGTATGAAAGGTTCTATTTCAGAATATACAAAAAAATTAATAAGGTTGGTAGAGTACATATGAATGGGAATATATAAATAAGGATAACCAGTAAACAAACTCACGATGATCAGCAGCAATCACAATTCCTTCTTCCAGAACAAAACCCAGAGTGGTCATTCCCTTTTCAAGTACAGGGTCCCAAGGATTAAACGTCTACCAGAAAAGGAGAAAAAAGCTTACATTAAACCATGCTAAATGGTAAACAATTTAAAAATAAAAATAAAATAAAAATAAATTACCCCATCCGGACGCAGAACAATTAAGCTAACAGTTTTGAGTCCGATAAATTTTGCTGAGGAGGATCCGGCGGTAGTCATCTTTCGTTCGTTCCTTAAATCCAAGCAAAACAAACAAAATCACCAAACCAAAATTAGGGCATTAATAAGCCTACTCCGAAAAAGAAAAGATAAAAGCGACAAGAGATATTATTAACCTTTGCAGATGTCCAACGGTAGACGAAATCGTTCAAACTCCAGATCTAAAAGCAAAAAAAACACACAACATCATCAGCCGAGGATGAACAGAGTTGATTCATCAATTCATATAAACGCGACTAACATACTGATGAAAGAAGAAAATCGTAACACCAAAATAATATGGATCTAAGAGGAAGCCCTAAATTCAATGAAGAAAAGGAGAGCGGCGGCCAGAGAGTTTGGTTTACCTTGGCAGATTTGGGCGAATTTTTGTTGCTATGATTAACTCTTTAGAGTTTCAGTTGGCGCGGCAGGCTCTTATTTATATGGTGGAAGAATCACCGACTTTCACTACAATGCAAAAGTAGTACTCCCTCCATCCCATAATTATTGTCCACTTTGCCCCAAAAATTTTGTCCCAAAATTATTGTCACGACCCGGGGGCCTTGAGGGTGGCCAAAAGGCAGAATCAGAGAAATCAGAGGTGGCCGGAGGGAGTTAGGTCGTGAATCGGGGAGGAATGGAGAAGATAGAAGGAATTGGAAAATTCCAATTTAGCATAATAATTCTTGATAATCCACTTACAGACCTTGACAGACTTTTTATAGTCTGCAAGTTACAGAAAATACTAATAGGTCCCTAAACTTTCTAATTCCTACAATTTAGTCCTATAATTTAGTTCGGGGCATGACAAACCCTTCCCCTTAAAAACAGTCTTGTCCCCAAGACTGTCATTACAAAATCACTACTCAACAACTGAACAAACAGAAATTGGCACTAATACCATTTTTGCTAAACAATTGAGAATAAACAGAAAGAAATGAAGCGAACAAGCAGCTTGATTGAGACCTAGTGACACTTGATCACTAGCAGATTCTCTCACTGGCAATTACATATTCCAAGCAATCCTCCATACAAAGTTCTCCTCTTCAACTGTAATCACAAGGTTTAGGCTTCCTTCAAAAATGGATGTGTTTCCTCTAAAACAAGTAACCTTTTTATCCCAACTTCGCATTTCCAAAAGTAAGGTTCCAGCTTCGAAAGCAGTTGCCCTACCAAGCCATAATCTGTTTACACTTCTCATTTCAACCTAAGCTGTCACCATGTTCCACTCTAATGGCCAGCTTAGGTTTATCAGCCTCAATCCGAAATAATGTGCCTCCACTGAAACATGTGATCGCTTTATCCCATGATCTATCGAAACATATCATTTCAGAATTGTGAAGATGTACTAGTCCCCCAGGCTCAATTTGAAATAGGTAGCCCTCATTTGCAGTAATGGAAGTACTCAAAAACAAGTCTAAATCATCATCGTCATGCTTGCAGTTCAACTCAATTAAAACAGCACCATTTGAACTCGTAAAGAGTGCCATTGCTCGACCAAGTAGTTTACCATTGAGCCTTGTTGTTGCTGCTGTCTCAGTTTCATGAAACTCCAGCAAGTGACACTCCTTTGATCCCGCCGAGGTTTTAAATGCACAAAGTTGACAAGCCAATGGTGCCGATACAGTACTTGTACGAGCAAAATGACAGTTACCCTCCAAGTCAAACAAGATACAAGTTTTTGTATCACAAAATTCTGTGCTGCCTCTCAAACATGTGGTCAAATTAGGCCACACGCACAGTGCTTCATTAAAACTATGATTGATCAATATAGAACTTAGGATCCCCACTAACAGTTTGAATATTCGAAGCTGTGCTTCGGCTGCCTCCGTAAGTCCCGTACCTCCCTTGAAAGAAGTTACCATTTCAGCCCAGGATTTGAGAGTCAACTTACTGTTAGAATTTTTGCCCAGCATTGAATTCTATTCAACCCAACCTTGCAGATCAACGCCCCATTTTGGATGAAAACGGATAGCCACAAATCTTGCACAAGGAAGAACCAATAGTCCTTCTAAAAACAAACTTTTATGGTCAATGACAATCATATTTTTTTCGGCAATTGAGATCCCATTTTCAGTACGAAACCATCTTCTAACTGCTTGGGAAGAATAAGCTCCAACCACTACCTTTCTCATGAACCACTTAATTGATTTGGATAGACATAGGGCAGGGATGGTTCCAGTCTTAATCATATCAAAAACATCAATCCTATTTAGCATAGAGATATTGCAACTCCAACTAAAGGAGAACATTATTACAAGGTAACCAACAAGCTGCCAATTTTTATATAAAACAGTCCCTCCTTTAAATCCGGTAATCAACAATGAAAAATCATCAATCACTAGTTGATTAATACCAAGTATATCAAGTAGAAGATCACCTTCCCTAATACAGCATCTATCAATAGCATCCTCAAACAGATTTAAAGACAGAAGACCACTTTTTGAGAAAATAGCATGCTTTTCCGATCCCAGGCTTCCGATACTTTCAAAATGAAAACATTTAGCTCTAACTGGCAGTTCTCCTTTTGAGAATCTTTCGCGGGAACCTTTGAGTTGCTCGAATTGATCACCAGGGCCAATGGCAAAAGTATTTGGATGATTTCCCATAGTTATAAAACATAGCCAATCAGAACCATATTCTAAGGGATTACAATTAACATTTGACAACGATTCACCGGTAATCATATTACAGTTGCGCTTGTACTTCCATTTAATCAAAACAGCTGCTTTCTGTACCCAATTAATATGGTATTTCAAAAGATTTTTAAAAACTAGACCACCCTTGAATATGGTTACCTTTGTAATCTAAGCACAAAAAGTGTTGCTGATTTCCTGTCCGATACTCACATTTAAAAAGCTTAACAAATGAACAAAATGCTTCAAGTAAGTATGAAACATCCTTGAACCCTTAAGAAAACTCCAAATCGTGTTTCCCATTTCACTAGACTCGAAAGAACCAACAATAGGCCATTCTCCTTCTAACGTGTTCAGAAAATATACAACACCCTTCGTCCTCTCATTTCTAATATAATCACCATATATAATCTCCATTCCATAACAAATCTGAGCATTTCTGACCAACGTAGTTCCCAGTGCATCACAACACTTTGACAAAACCAACAATACACAAGTAACACTATGATATTCAGCAAAACATCAACATCACTCGCTAATCCACCCGGATCAACATAAAAAGTAGTGGTTTCGACCCATTTCAAACATTTATGATCATCTACTAACCCCTTAGCACTATAAAGACTTCTTAATCCTCCCGGATCACTTTCTGGTAGCCAGCAACTATAGCTACTAAAAAACGGTTTCAAAAACTCGTATGACACTTTCTGGTAGCCAGCAACTATAGCTACTAAAAAACGGTTTCAAAAACTCGTATGAACCCGCAGTAAGATCAACTAAGAAACGAAGATCAAATGAGGATTTATGACTCAAATTCAGAACAACACTTTCAGCCATCGAACTCAGGGTTGCAGCAATTATCTCTCTATCATTACCAACCAAATTCCTCATATCGGCAGAAACATCATTCAGAGCCACAGAACAGTCATCTAAACTCAAATTTTCAGCACTAACATCTTTCAAAACCACAGAATTATCATCAACGAGTTGCAATGACGAGATAATACCTGCTGCATCAACATCATTTTCTCCTTCATCACCATTCTGACAGTTGGACGAATTACCTTCTCCGCCAAACTCTTCCTGAGAAAATGCTTCACTGGACTGAGAAGAATCATCGATAGCTTGGACGAAAGAGTTACCATTTCCAGCAGATGTCTCCTCAGCTAATTTCACCTCGGATTCCACCATCATACCCGCATCAACTTCTTCAATCGTTGGGACTGACGCTCCGCCTTGATCTGACTCAGAATCGCCGGCCTCCCAAACGTTGACAATCACTGTCGGCCGGATGGAATTACCGAACCGGAGCTCTAGCTGGCTGACAAACCTTTCCCACGTTGATAATTGAGAGGCATAGAGTAACCCGTATAAGAATCTCAAGGGTTCTCCGGCTAAATAGAATTCGGCAATGAATAGCTTTGAATCAGGCGGTACAGAATTAGAAGAGAAGACCTGCTCCTTTCGGTCAATCCATTCGCTAACATTTTTGCCTGTGAACAAAGGTATCCCGGTCGAAGATGGTTTAGGAAGATTATGAAGTGCCGGATTTGGAGGAGTGATTTCGGTTGCTGGAAGGGATAAAAGGGTTTTAACCCTAAGTCGATTTTCGTCGGATTTAATCTCCATCAACGAACTAGTGTGGAATCGGGCAACGGAATGAAAAGAAAAGTTTGGTGCGATTGAAGAAACGGAGACTCGCACAGATTTCAGAATTAGGGAGGTAGAAATGGATTTCAGATTTCAGAGGATTAGGGAATAGAAGGGAAAGAAGAGGAAAAACAGAATCGATCAAATGATGCAGAGTCGGCCGAGGAAGGACCGCTCTGATACCAAATGTCACGACCCGGGGGCCTTGAGGGTAGCCGGAAGGCAGAATCGGATAAATCAGAGGTGGCCGGAGGGAGTTAGGTCGTGAATCGGGGAGGGATGGAGAAGATAGAAGGAATTGGAAAATTTCAATTTAGCATAATAATTCTTGATAATCCACTTACAGACCTTGACAGACTTTTTATAGTCTGCAAGTTACAGAAAATACTAATAGGTTCCTAAACTTTCTAATTCCTACAATTTAGTCCTATAATTTAGTTCGGGGCATGACATTCACCCGCTAAAGCGGGTGGACCTTGGTCCCTTTTCTTTTGATTTTTTTAATTAAAATTTGGGCCAAACTAAAAGACTTATTTGGGCTTTTCATTTGTTTGGGCCAATTTGTTATATTTTGAACTGTTTTTATTAACCATTTTTAATATTTTAGATCTTAATTAATTTAATTATTATAATTTAATTACATATCTATTTCATTTTTAATCCATTTTACCCTATTAAAGCAGAATACAGGATGTTGATGTGGCAATTTCTTATTAAAAAATTTTGGCTCCAAATGCACCATATTGCTTTAACCATTCTGCCACGCGTCATCCCTTTTTAAAAGAAAAAAAAATTTCTTATCCAGAAAAACAAAAGCTAATTTACAAAAATAGCTACACAATTTTAACTCCTAACACTTATCATTTATCAATCAAATCAAGATAGGATTTAAATTTGTCCATAAAATTATCTCCTTTATTACTCCACATTCTTTTGTATGATTTCTGCATCGGTGTACTTTTCAATATTTTTTCTCCTTTTGTAGATGATTTTTTATTTTTATATTATTTTTTGCTAAAAAAGGGAAAACAATAAATATGTAGCTATTTTATTTTTTCTAAATCAAAAATTTATTTATCCATTAACACAAAATTAAAGTAGAGGGGGCGCCCAGGCATCTGACTGGGCCAAGCATCTAGTTATTATTTAAGTTGTATAACTCAAAATTAATAATCATAATTATCATTTTAATGAGTGAACTTAAGTCTTAATAGTAAATATATGTGTGCGTATTTTAACATGGACTAAATCACCATTGTTGATTTATTATAAAATCATAAGAATTAAAACCAGTAATTTATTTGGCTATTAAACGTCTAAATTTATTCCACCGAATTAATTTAAACGTTACATATCCTCTTCTCCATTTTGACTGGAAAAGTGAGCGTGGGTTTACCCATCTCTGGTGGGGTTTCGGAATCATTGTATCGTACACTATGGTTCATTGTTTTAGGTGAACTGATTTTTTGATTACACGCACTTATAAAACCTCTAATTAAAAATTGAGAAAAAATCTAAAACTTACTACTTAAAATACAGAATAGAAAAGTAAAAAATAAGTAAACAAAATATGATTTTAACTCTTCTCCTCGATTGTAGCTTTCATCAACTCACCACCATAAGATTTAATCCTGAACAAATTTAAGTTAGTTATTAAGATATAAACATAATTTATATTCCATAGTATATTAAAATCCATAATATATGAAAATATTCAATTATAAAATTAATCGTTAACCCAAAAATACAAAACAATAAACGATGTTCATATTCAATAATATACACGTTCATGATAAAACCTTTATATGTTAACATAAATTCACATTATTACGAGTTAAATTAAAATTCATGTCCGGAATAAACAAAGTTCATGTAATTGCAATGATTACTACATTTTTCTTAGGGATTTTAACACTACAGTTTTAGGAGTCAAAATAGTTTTCGAATTCGATTGTGCTTTCATTTCGAAGGGTATCTTTTTTGTGAGGTACTGAAAACGGAAATTTACATGACGTCAGCGTATCTTGTCACATCCTCAATGATAGGTTGACTGCAGGTCAAAAGGGTATTTGAAGAATTAGCCATAACTCTTGGTGGCAAGATGTAATTTCCCCATAGATTATTAGAGAGTAATACAAAAATTTTCCGTTGCAATGCAAGTCCTGTTCCATCACAGCCGTTCATTTCTTTCTGATCGACGTGTATCATTTAATCCTCGAGAATCGACTCCAGTACGAAAAATCTCCGTATTCCGTGCGCACAAATTCTTTTTAATTTCCATCCATTTCCACCTCCAATTTCACTCTGCTCAGTTTTGTAATTACTACTCTTCCTTCCTTGTTAGTACTAGAAATCATCCAAATTTGTTCAAATTAACGATGAAGATCCCCAATTATCCGCTAACCCTACTTTGTTGGTAGAGATTACCTCCAATTTCGGCCATTTCTTGATTCTCTTTCACTTGCCCGATCACATCAGTTTGTTCGAGCAACTCATTCAAAAACTCGAAATTGCTTCTCACATTGACAGAAAGGAAAGGTTTTAGGGTGGATTTAGGGTTCAAGAATTTGGATAATGAACCATGCGGGAAGGACTGCGTAGTGGAAGAGGACGTGGAGGAGGTGGTGGTGGAAGGAATAATCAAGAAGCTAGAAAGACAATTCAGGGGAGGAAGACGCCGTTAGAAGCGGAGGAGCCTAAAGAAGAACCCCGTGATCTTCGTATTGGAGGAGTGCAGGGAATTGCCACCAGAACTAGGGGGAGGAAAGCAGCGGCCGCGGCCGCTGTTCTGGAAGAGAAAAAGGAACCAGAGCCGATTACAGCGGCGGTTGCTGTTACCGGAGAAGGAGGGAAAGTTGACTGTAAAAAGCCTATGGGTGATTATAACATCAGTGGCGGTGGGTTTGACGCTGATGATGAATCATCTCTTTCCATTCCTAAAGAGGTTAATGTTGCTTTACACTGTTCTTTTTTCCTTTTTCTTTTCTTTTTCCACCTTGATAAATTCTAGTTCTATATATGCCGCATGGTCGTATCCTTGATGAATCTTAGCCAAGGAGGTTACTTTTAGTTCACATTTTCACTTCTATTCATCGCTGAAGCCGGTTAGCCTATGAAAAAGTGAATAGACAAATGGATAGTAAGTACCGGAGATAAGATCTTAGTGATGATAAACTTGGCCCCTGTCTGGGTATCTGTGTTAATCTTGAATATATTTCATGGACCTTTTTTGCTAACTAGGTATCTTGTTGTTCTTTCTTGGGGGGTCTTAAAAGTCAGAATTTTATGCCAAGAGACCTATTAGTTCTGTGCATAATGTGTTGCTTGAAAGTATCTACATTTCTTTTTCAATTTTTACTTGTACTGGTTGTTTGGTCGCACCTATACCTTCCTTCATCGTATAATGCATGCTTCTTGTTGGATCCAGCAATCATGTGAAATTTATTTAAAATGTTTCTGGCCTGCCTTTAATAGTTCCAGCTTAAACATACTGTTTTTGTGCTCTATAGATGCCAAAGGTTTATAGTATTATGGTGTGAACTGTTCTCGATTATTGTTCAACTTTGGCTCTTTGGAACATTAAGGTGATACTTACAGTGGCTGCCGGTGAATTTTTCCCACAGGTTCAATTTGAAGGTTCACCCAAGTATAAAGTTGAAAGAAGGCTTGGGAAAGGAGGTTTTGGCCAAGTATATGTAGGTATCCCTCTCTCTGGTAGCGATAGAAGACAGGTACACTTCACAGATTTTAAGTATCCAATTCTTAGTTTGTTTTTGTTATTTTTGGCTGCGCAAAATGTATCATCAAATTAATATCTCCACTTTTATAGGTGGCCATAAAATTTGAACATAAAAGTAGTAAAGGATGTAATGGGAGTCCTCCAATCGAGTGGCAGGTTTACAAGTAAGTTTGTATCATGGATGGCAATGATGACCAGAACTTTTTTGGACCGAAGCTGACAGTGGTTTTAAATTTGCAGAGATCTCAAGGTTAGTCATGGTGTTCCTCGGGTGCATTATACGGGGATGCAAGGTGGATTTTACATTATGGTACGTAATGGTACTCCATATTTCACATTCGCTGCGTCTTTTTCGTGTGGTGTAGTTGTCCCCACTCTCCAGCCTTCCAGCTTTGTAGATCTGCAATATAAATCGATGCTGTAATTTCTGCAGGTCATGGATTTGCTGGGTTCAAGCTTGTGGGATTTATCGAATGATAAGACTAGTCCGTAGGTCTATTAAATTGATTATTTCAGATTTCTTTTATTCACCTAGTTCTTTGCGACTTTGACCAATTAGTGAGTGTATTGAAGGTTATCATCTTTCCTTAATATTCAGGATGACTACTGAAATGGTTGCCTGCATTGCAATTGAAGCATTATCAATATTGGAAGAGCTGCATTCTAAAGGGTACATTTGTTTTGTTTTTTTTTTTTAGATTCCTGTGCCGGATCTCTATGTAGTTCCGTACAAATTCATATTCCTCCCTACATGGCCAAGTCTGATGTCCTGAATCTTCTTCGTCTGACACATGACCAAACCCTCGTACCCCTTGATGTAATTCAGAAGCAAGGAGTTATTTATGATGCATAACTGGATTAATATGTGAAAATGTGGACAGGTATGTCCACGGTGACGTGAAGCCTGAGAACTTTTTGCTTGGTCCACCCGGGACGGCTGATGAGAAAAAACTGTTTCTAGTTGATCTTGGGTTAGGTACAATACTTTCCAACTATGCTTTAAAGTTTGTGTTGCTCTTCTGTCCCTCTGTAGATACTTATATTTACATCATCTCATGGACTATCAGCTTGTAAATGGAGAATCGACCCCGATGACCCTGCTAGCGCCCATGTGCAGTATGAGCAAAGGCCAGATTTGTTCAGGTATTCATTAGTTTGTTTGAGGGCATGACTTGATTGATCCTCATCATCTTGCTGATCTCTTTGCCTTATATTTCAGGGGAACAGTTCGTTATGCTAGTGCGCACGCCCATTTAGGCAGAACCAGTAGTAGGCGAGATGACTTGGAATCTCTTGCTTATACACTTACTTTTCTGCTCCGGGGCCGTCTCCCTTGGCAAGGATATCAGGTAAATATTGAGTAGAGGACATACAATTTCATATTAGTTGGTTTGTGACCTTCTCTTTCTTCTCTTTTTTTTTTGGCATGTCACTTATGTTTTCTTCATTTTTTCCCCGTGTCTTGGTGTTTATTTTCTGCTAGGGTGAAAATAAAGGGTTCCTTGTGTGCAAGAAGAAGATGTCAACATCAGCAGATAGTCTCTGTTTATTTTGCCCAACACCCTTTAAATTGTTTGCAGATTATGTTGTGAACTTGAATTTTGACGAGGAACCTAACTATGCAAAATGCATTTCCCTCTTTGATGGGATTGTTGGTCCAAATCCAGATAGTAGACCAATTAACACAGAGGGCGCTCAAAAGGTATGAATTAGTGCTTATGGTTTATATTTTCCTAAGATGATATATGCAAAGCAATTTACATGGATGTTATGCGCTTAAGTCATTGGGCTTAAGTCAATTACCTGAATGTTATGCGCTTCTTGAAGTTCATTGGGAAGAAGAGAGGCCGCTCTGAAGATGCGGAAGATAAAGAGCCAAAGAAGAAGGTGAGGATTGGTATGCCTGCTACTCAGTGGATATCTGTATACAATGCTCGTCGACCAATGAAACAAAGGTATGTATTCAAAGCAGGACTTTACATGGATGGATTGGTAGGTTGGAACATCATATATATTTTTGTTTGTGTTGTTGTGGAGACTGCACCGGTTATCTGATCTTTGTTTACTATATTACTTCCCATACTTTTTATTTATGCCTTCTCATCCATTTGTCTGCATTATGTATGTACTGGATAATGTATTAAGTATATACTGAGTAATGTATTGAGGCAACGGTTTTCTTTCCTTAGGTATCACTATAATGTAGGTGATGAAAGACTTGAGCAACACATTGTAAAAGGAACTGAAGATCGTTTGCATATTAGTAGTCTGGCATGTTGTCAAAATCTTTGGGCAATAATCATGGATGCAGGGACCGGCTTCACTGCACAAGTTTATGCGCGGTCACCTACCTTCCTTCACAAGGTTTGTGATGTGTTCAATTTCTCTTCATATACTTCCTCATAAGCAGTGCAAGAGGGGAGGTACTTGACATTAAACTGTTTACTCACGTTCTTTGTTTGGAATATGTTTTATTAACCTTTTTGCCCCTTGTATTATGAAGGAATGGATAATGAAGCAATGGGAAAATAATTTTTACATTAGTGCAGTGGCTGGGGCTGGTAATGGGAGTTCCTTGGTAGTAATGTCAAAAGGTAAGCTAACGTATAATACTTTAACTATACGTCTTATAGTACTACCTCTTATGCCTTATAATACTGCCTTTTATGATATGTGATTATGTGGTCACTTCCATACAGGTACACCGTATTTGCAGCAATCTTACAAAGTCTGTGATATTTTTCCATTTAAGTGGATAAACAAGAAGTGGAGCGAGGGATATTATGTCACCGCAATGGCTACAGCTGGAAGTAAATGGGGAATCATTATGTCTCGTGGAGCTGGTTTTACAGAGCAGGTTTCAGATTAATATTTTTGGTGTTCATTTGGTTCATAATATCTAGGGAAGAAGTATGTGTTGGTAATCAATGCTTTGACTTAGGTTGTGGAGCTAGATTTTACTTATCCCAGTGATGGTATTCATCGGCGATGGGATGTTGGATATCGTATAACTGCAACCGCCGCGACTTCAGACCAGGCTGCCTTTATACTTAGTCAACCTAAGGAGCAACTAACAGACGATACACAGGAGACCCTTCGCACAACTGGATTTCCCAGTTCTCATATAAAGGTTCATATTCACTCTACCTGAATTGTGGATTCTTATACGCTTTTTTTGGTTGCGGTTCTGTTAGTTACGCATCTGATGTCGTTGCAGGAAAAATGGACAAAAAATCTGTACATTGAATCTATGTGTTATGGGCGTACAGTTTCATAGTTTCTTAGTGCCGTGAAATTCATGACTTCAAAACATCAGATCGATCAAGGAATACTTGTCCAAGAATCGTAGACCTGGATGCCAATGTAGGTTGAGAAAAGTTTGTGATTGCGGCAAGCTGTGTATCAATTACAACTTCCAGTTGTAAAGTAGGTACATTACCACAAAAATCTGTATAGTCTTGGGCAAATGATCTTTTGGTACAGTGAAATAGTTTGACACTGTACTTAAATGAAATGGAATTATTTTTCAAGCCTTTTTGTTCTATTCTATCAAATTAACTAACAATTCATCAGGTGAGCAAAGTAAGTGGTCTTCAGGTCTTCAACTCGTAATAGCAGATTATGGATAATTTTGGAGTGAAACATCACGAAGACGGCCTGCCACACAGTCTCTTTATCCGAACTTGGTCCTGTTAATGAAACAATATCCCATAATCATGTTATTTCCAACACCGCTTGAAACAAGGAAGAAACATGGATGAATTTGATAAAGATACAAAGTATATTTAGTATGATATGTACCTCAAAAAAATCAAAGTCAAAACGGACACCAAACATGCAAGTGCAACCTTCGGTCTCATCGTGTAGTTTTCTTTTAATATCTATTACCCTTGCATCCCGGTATACAGCAAGGTCTTCAGTTTCCTGAGTACAGAGGAGACAAAAGGCAAAAGATTAAGCATTCAGCTCGGTCTCCAGAAACTTGCTTCTTGTTTTTTGAAATTTGCTTATAATTTAAACAAGTAGAAGAAGGAAACTATTCTCCCAGCTTTCAGAAAAGTCAGATATTAAATTGCCTTCAACCAAGAACAACGCCATGCGCATTGCGCAGTGCAGTTGAATAAAGATTGTGGTGAAGATCGGGAAACAAAAGCCATACCCTGTAGCATAAAACAAGGTCTCCAACCTTGACCTTCTCACATTCGGAATCCTCCAAAGGAATTGAACGCTCACGTACACCCCTTTTCACATTAACCCACTCATCGTGATCCTTATCAAAACCAGCAAACCGTACACGAACTTCCTGTGAAGAAAGTACGAGGACACAGTTAATAGGTGGCAGATTCAGTAATTTGTTGAATTAATCTAATTACTGTTTGACTATACATCCAATAGGATTGCCACATGGGATACTTGTGCTAATTAAAAGTGAGCAAAGCCATCTTTGAACAGCTGGTATACTTTGATACAAAATTTCATATTTTCTAATTCATAAACATATCTAAAATTCAAGTGGTCCTTTTTCGGATAACAACTTTGCCAGTAACACAAACATTACTATGTTCAAACTGGACCAAATTGCTTTTCTTACATGAGAGGATATTGAAAAGTATACAGAAGAAGAAAAGTTCTTACAAGCTCTCCAGAATGCACAATTCTGTAGTTGAGAAATGAAGCAACATCATACCTGAAGACAGCAATAACACAAATGTCACTGGATATCTTCATTACCTACCTTTTACTTTGTAGCGGAAATGCAACAAAATAATCCAATTCACGGCAGTTCTAATGAAGTCTCTACAGTCTTTGAATTTTAAACTTTAAGACTACACATATGGAGAGGAATCAGGAGAATGACCACAACTCCCGAGATATCAAAACCTTCCAACTTATGGAAAATGGTCTAGTGACCACTTTCGGGACAAGAAAACCAATCACATAAACTAGACCACCTTATACACAGAGAACTGGTTGCATCTTGAAAACTTTAAAGATGCTCACCAAGCAAGATCCCTCGCTGATTTAGCTTCGTAAAGCAAGCCAGACAGCTCTGCAGCGACAACATCTGAAAATATCCATGAACATTAGGATGAGTAAAACAAAATTTCAATCATATCTGGCCAAAAAGCAAAAAATTTCCCTCTTATTTTAAGAAAGCTCAGAAACATGGACAGCAGACACTATTTAACTTGCAGATGTCCAACGCTTGACATGTCCCTTCTATTTTTAGGATCTTAAATTTAATGAGAAATTGTTTATACTGTAAATATCACATAATTATGCATGATACTCAGCAAGTCATGGTCGATGAGTACAGAGTCAGTATACAATTTAGAGATATCAAACTACAAATTCACACAACAAAATGGAACCTCTGGGCTTATAATAAGTTTGAATTGCAAGATCTAAGCCTGCATCAGGAAATTGCAACTTGACTTCTTCACGAATAGTAAGCGCAGAATCAGTTGCACTTTTATCTATGAGCATATTTGTAGGAACATTAGATTTCTTCACATTTCGATGCATAGATAGGAATTCAGCTTTCAGGTCTCTCTTCCCCCGATCTTGGAACCAATATGCTACCTACAACATCATAATTGAATGCAAGCAAAACCATCAAGAATGATTAATGAAAGGGTCAGTGGGAAATATTAGAAAAATGTGCACCAGAATCACCTGCTCCCATTCTATTAAAGGTTTCCCACATCGATGAACTGAATTACTGCAGAACAATCATGCAAACCGATTGTATAAGTCAACTTCCCAAACACTTAAGGGAGGGAAAGAAAGAGAGAGGGTCTAGGGACATATACTTGAACTTGTCAGATAGTTCTTGAAAGAACTCTGATTTAAGGGGTTTTCCACCCATTTTCCTCCTGTATAGGCTCTCCATTTCCATAACCTGATAAACAGAATGAAATCCTACCTTGTGAATTACATCAAGAACCCAACAGAGAAAATGCATTCTGACCCCTAAAATAAAAACTAAAATAAAGAATCAAAAAATCTTCTCTGATGACAACACTTATATAAAGATCAAAACTTTGGACATGCATGATTGAAAGCAGAAGGAGAATCAGAAATAGAAACAGCAAGATAGAAGGCATGAATTGAAAACAGAAACAGAAAAAGGAAGTTAATTAAGATGATTACCTCAGCTAGTGTAAACTCGGCATCGAAATCATTTTCCATTTCCATTGAATTGAGCTCGGCATCCATACCCATTGTCAGAGTGAGATTATTGAAGTACTTTCCCAGAGAAATTTGTGTTCTGCACTTTGGTAGAAATATATATTTTCTTTTCCGCCATTTATTCTTGTTTTGGGTCCTGGACATCCTTTTCGAAAACAGTCATATTCAACATTAAAATTTGGGCTTTTGTCCAAAATCATGTGGACTGTTCCCCAGACACAAGTCTCTTCATTTAGTATTTCAAATTGTCCAAATCCTGAACTTAATTTCCACATTTTCCATTCTTTTGATTTTGATTTGGTTTTAGCTTTTGTTTTTTGTTCTTTTTTTTGATGTAATTCGCATCGAGGAATGTCTTAATTAATTTAATGTACAAATTTTGCGTCTCTCAGTAGCCCAGAGAAGGTGTATGTATACTAATGGAAGGGTACTACCATCATACATTTATATGATAGATTAGAGAGTAACATTAATAATCCCACAGAGAAGATATTCGCTTTGGTTAAAAAGGTGGGTTCGAATTTATTGTACAACATTCCTCCAAAAAAAAAAAAAACTCACATTTAGTTTTAGTGTAAATTTCAAAACTAAATATCTTGGGACACAGGAAATATGTCCTAACAATCGCGGAGTTTTTTTTTTTTGAAAAGGAATAATTTCGGAGTTAGTATTGATAATGTTTCAACTTTGTTTTCGCCTTTTTGGTTGATCTTCACATTTCTTATTGACACCAAATCATTGTTACTTCCCTGTATAATTATATCAGGGAAGGCCTGAAATTACTAATAACAATTATATTTTATTTTTCCGGACAAAAGAAATATAACTTGTGGTGCTTCATAAAAATCTTTGTAATAATGTACGAAAATTATGTTATCGTCGTCTTGAATTGTTGGTCGACCAACTATTTCATTTAGACAAAAAAAAATGACCTTAGAAAAACTTCCGAGGTGTTGATAAGTGGTGAACAAGACGAAGAAAATGAGGGGAAAAAATAGAACCGGGAAAAAAAAAAAAGAAAAAAGGAAGCCTAACATAGAGTTTCATGATGGAATCCTCGCCATTAGCCTCTCAAAATGTTGCAAATGTAACTGATCATTTGATACAAGAGTGTGAATAAAATTACAAATACAATTTGCTGACCAATTGAAATGGTATGCTGCTTTTTCTTCTTAGCTTTGTCAGAATTGGTGATGAATGAAGGAGAGTAGAGGAAGGCCATTGAAATATGTTGCTGCTGGTCACGATCATCACCACCTTTGAAGATTGGCCTTCCTATTACATGCTTGATCTGTCCCCTACCCCATTCCTGACCAAAGTTCAAAAAGATATATTTATGTCGTTATTCTTTCTACAAATATTTGTTAATTAGAATTTGGAGTTGATAGAAATTCTTTTTTACCTTGAGGTGATCACCAATGGTGATGATTAATGAATCCTGATCCGGATGGAAAGAAACCCATCCTTTCTTGGAGTAGACATGGAATTCTTGAGCTCCGTTGAAGACATGAACACATAATGCATGAGGGAATTCTGCTCCTCTAACCAGCATCCTAATCACATCATACCTTAAAGAACTCTCTGATTGATCTCCATTCATCATAACCTGCCAATTATTATGCTTTTGGAGACAACAGATTGAACTGAATTCTTGATGATGATGATCCTCTTTCTTCACCTCTTCCCAATTACTTGTCACAGATGAATAAGTATTCTGCTCTAGCAATTGCAGAATCTTCTCTGCCATGCTCTCCATCATTGAGACCAGCTTTTCCATCTTTTCACTGTAATAATTTGATAAATGAAGAACATTGTGAAAGTTTGGCATTAGCATCGGAAAATTTGAAATAAAGGGCCAAAATTAGAACTTTTTAGTTGGATTTAAGTAAACCTGAAGTTTGAATATGCGAGTGGCAAGATCTTCTCCATTTCATTCTTCAAGGTTTCATCTTTGCACCAAATAAACTCTTCATTAATATCCTTTTCCTGTTCTTCTTCTCCATGGAAATCTTCGAACCCATATGGCTTTTCCGTCGATGTTGTCATAATCTTCTTCTTCTCAGGCGAAATCCCAAAAACCCCATTCCCAGCATCCAAAGCTGATTTGATCAAGTCCAAGGGAACGCCATGATTGAAAACCTCAAAGCATCCAGTTCTTGAAACAGAGTCAATGAATTTCATGATTGCTTCATTCTTTAATGTGCTCAAGCCTTCAAAATCAAGCTTTGGAATATTCTGAACGCTCTTCTGCCTGGGAAAAACTCGATCAGGAAGAATGAGGTCAGGAACTTTAAGAGAATGTTCCAAGAATTCAGACAGAACATCTTCATTAACAAATGAAGATCGCCGGCCAGAAGCAACAGGGGAAGGCGGCGGTGCACGGGAATCAAAGATCGTCCGGCCGGAAGCAACCGGCGATGGCGGCGGTGCACGGAATTCAATGATGGTATTAGTCTCAGGAGGCGGCAATACTCCAGATGGTGTCAGTGAACTCATTGCAAAACTCCCTTTTCCCTTCTGGAAAAAAAAAGAAAAAACACGCACACACACCTCTCTGAGTACTACTTTCTCACTGTGAGACTGTGTGTGCGCTGTTAGTGTGTACGAGGAGTTTTGTTTCGATTTTTTTTCGCTCGATCAGTAAAGAAAAAGGGGAAAAGGAGGAAGCAGCAATGATGGAAATGTTTTCTTCATTACACTTTATTCAAATGTTCATCTTTTTTTTTTCGAGTATGTTTTTTTTTTTTTTTTTTTCGCTTTACAGATGATCTTCTTTGCTCTGTCAATTTACTCAATCTTTGGTAATTATGATTACGAAATGGTGTTTTACAGAATGTCGTGGTGCCAGCTTCGCCAAATTGGATTGCCATGGGGTCAAAGTGTTTTGTGTGTTTTTTTGAGTTAACAACAGTGGTAAGACGTGCAAGGCATAACACTTTCTCCGGAAAAAGTCTTCAAATTAAGACCCAAAAAGATTATAGCGTTTTGGTTTAATAAAACAAACAAGATGAAACTGCCTTTTAATTACAGGCCATCATTTGAATTTCGTAAACCTTCTAGCTATTTTTATTTTCTGTGATGTACTCTCTCCATTTCAAAATGTAGGTCGTTTTAGATTTGGAGAGATTTTTCAAAATGTAGGTCGTTTTACAAATTCTAGGTAAATTAATGACTATTTTTCTAATTTTACCCTCAATAAATGATGCTAATCTATTTCTATTTAGTCTTGTTTATAGTTTCAATGTAATTAATGTGGGGTAAAAAAAATATTTAACACATAAATTAATTGTTGGATGATTGTCTCATTAGTTTACGTGCCAAGTCTAAAACGACTTATATTTTGAAATGGAGGGAGTAAAATTGAATATCTATTTGTGCGATAATGTGACTTCCGTATGATTTCCCATTTATCGAAGTAATTCAGTGGATACATATTGCGGAGTAGTCTTCTTGCAGATAGGGCTGTAACTCTTTTATCTAAAGAAAGTTTATAGATGTAAGGTTGTTTAATCCCCTACTTATATATTTAAAAAAAAAATTGAAGTAATTTAGTGAAGGAAATCCAATCCCATAACAGCTCTTGGTTAAAATCTCTTTCACACCTGTTAGTCGATTCAATGATGTCAAACAGAGTGTATAATATACACGAAAAAAATTCTTAAAAAAAAAAAAATTTGTTCCAAAATTATAAATTATAGAAGTTGACCAGTACGAATCGAGTTTATATGAACTCTCAAAAGTCAAAAGTCTTTCACCAAGAAAACTTGAATGAATATTCGCAATTAACTGTCATAGAGATGAGAAAATGAACATTTCAGGAGAAAATGCGGTGAAAGAATACATATGCTCCAAACTCCAAAGTATAGTACTTCCTCTGTCCTAAAATTATTGTGCAGTTTGAGATTTCATTTTTAATACAATTTGAACTAGAAATGAAATCACAAACTGGACAATAATTATGAGACGGAGAGTATTATAATTTGGCATGAGTAGTAAGTACCATGTATACAGAACAACACCGTCGCCTAAGTTTGAATTACTAAGCCCAGTCCAGATATAACATATGAAATTGAATTAATAGATGATCCAGGAAAGAGGTTTATGCACCCACTAATGAGACTACATCAAGCTGCATATCTGCATCTAAATCTGAGATGTGCTGATCCGATATGGGTACACATTGCAATTCAACTCTAAGTTGTTGTATTACCAATTCCAGAAACAAAAAAATCAAACGTGGGTCATCAAAATCAGTAGTGATCCAATGTAGCAAACCTAGCGAAATTCTGGATGGCAAGACAATGACTCTAGCTTTGGAAAACTCCCGAGGAGGAGTCAGATTCGTAAGATCCATCTCTCCACCTGTGATACCAATAAACGGAAGTATTAGACAATTGACCCGTTGTCTGGGTTTTAAAACCTCGGACAATATTTTCATGGTTGTCTGGGCTTAAGATTAAGCCCAATTCTACTGTTAAAAAAATATAGCCTGTCAAAAGTAATCCAAAATCGGGCTGCGGCCCAATTTATTCTGCATTTCTTCCTTGAGACGTGAGAGTAATGGAACTTCGCTATAGATCGAGCAACCTTAAATTTTTCGACCATTTCTCTTTTCCATCGAGGTGCTTATTATGAGTAAATGAGATTAGTTATTATTGTAACGATGGACATCCTGCAATATGAAAAAAAAATTAAAAATTAATAATTGATTGGCTGTGTAATTTTGTTTTGGTCTTGCTGTCTTAACTCAACCAAACTTAAATGGGAACTTCGACAGTTCCAAAAAATAAATACTCCCTCCGTCCCATAATTATTGTCCACTTTGTCCAAAAAATTTTGTCCCAAAATTATTGTCCAATTTGACTTTTTATGGATCAAGTTACACATCTGTCCTTAATAAAAAATATTATCCATAAAATCTTAGTGGTTAAATAATTATTTATGTAGGGGCATATCCGGTTGTTTAAGGTAAAATATAGTTAAATTTGACAAAAATAAAATCTTTCGTTTTAGTAAAACTGGACAATAATTATAGGACGGAGGGAGTAAATAAATAAACATCGAACTATCGCGGTAGCTATTCACATACTCATATTGGCAGGGTCTTGGTTTTGCTTTCCGAAAAATACAAATCTAACCAAAATATATTAACTTCTTTTTCATTAGTCCATTCATTAAATTGATGATAAATTTATTTTCTTTCCATTCTAAAATGATTATGTTGTTTGGTAGTGGGGTACAGAATTTAACCAAAGGAATATGACAATCAAAATTTCATCATGTTTCATGTGTATATGTAAGAATATCAAGCCAGTGCTCAGGACCGGATATTTGATGTATTGAGTAGCTAGCTACAATAATTTTTTTTTGGAAAAAAAGAAAAAGTTGCCGAGAATTGGGAAAAATATTAAGTTTGAGTTTGGTGACAAATGACCTCGTCTACTTTTAGTAGTAAAGATTAAATTATAATAATCAAAGTAAAAGCTTTGAGCGATTCCACCCAATTATTAATATACAACAACTCTCAAACAGAAATTTAAGCACAAAGAAATTGATTTTTTTAGTAACATCTTGGAATGTGCCTATGATTAGTAGTCTAATTAATATGTACTCTTGGTTAGTTTAAACAATAACTTTGAGTAGATTTATAATGAGTTCTAATTAAAAATCTGTCACATTATGAAAAATCTAAAAATACTACGTATCAAACTACATGGTACGTAGGCATCAAATTCTGATTATGTAACCAAAAAAAGGTTAAAAAAAGGATAAACTTCTTCTATGAAATACTTGTCATTATTCACTAGTAGGGCTTTTGGACTTTGGTTCATCCTCCAGAGTAATTGAAAAAGCTGCTATTTAATTAATGGACCAAATTCATGATCACCATTCACCAAACCCCAACATTAGGGACTACATTAAACAGGACATTAATATTATTCCTCACTGAATATTCTAAACAAAATCAAAAGTGACTGCTTAGACTATCCTGAGGACCTTGACCTATGACTTGTGAGTTTGTGACCATCAGCACACGGGCATCACCCCTAACCAAACAAAAAACAAAAATAAAAATATAAAAAGAACTATCGTTTTTGGGACAGGGAAAATTTGGAGAATTGCTCTTCTTGGTGTTCATGATTGTCCAGCCCGCTCCCAAATTTCAAATTTGGTGTGCGCATCGTGAAGACTAAAAAAAAAACTCCAGAAAATGAATCATGATAGCTAGTAATGTTTGATTCTTTTCAGAACTATTTTCTATTCTTTCTGTCTTAAACTAAAATTGGTATTCTTTTTTCTGAATCGGAAATAACCTTTTTCTCTTAGGTTAGAGTTTAAACTTTCACAACCTGATCACTTTTTTTTTTACCAATTTACATCCATATAGTCATAGTTTTCTAGCTTATCAATCACATTTACGTGATGCGGTGAAAGTGCAATTTTTTTCTTGGCCCGTGCGTACAAGAGCAAGACAATTGTGTGGCAATAATAATATTCAGACTAGTACTCTTATTTTAATCATTAATTTAATTTCATTGCATCGTTTCAGAGAAATTAATCACATCTACAAAAAATTAACATTGTTGTCACCTGTCATTCTAGGTGTTACAATTTCTAAAAAATAAAGATGCCAATCCACCATTTTATTTGATAGCTTACCATCCTATCAACAACAACGACCCCAGGAGATTGGTTATCAACATGAAGGAATGGAAATTCGAGATCCATATATTATATGAACGATATAATAGTCTGGTAGCCTAGTTGGGATCGATGGACAAGTCAAAGAATTGAACATCAAAAATCAAAAGGGGTTTGGTGATTGGCAATTTTCGACTAAGACCTTTGAATGCAGTCATGGATATGATTCTTTAAATAGCCAACCATGACAGTACACGTGTAGGGATAGTAGTCGTTTTTTTTAATCAGTATAATAAAAAAAGCGAAGTCTATAAACTTAAAGTATTTTTTTTAGGATAAAATTCATATAATATATTTTATTCTAACCAATGTATAACTCCAAACGATGAATCGTTTAATCATTATTTATTGCATAGATGTAAAAGTTAAAAGATGCACGAGGTAATATTTTTCTTAAAAATATATATATATATATATATATAATGTACGTTGAGAGAGCAAGGCTATATATATATATATATATATATAAATATATATAAAATACTTACGAAAATAATTTACTATCACCTACAGAAGCCTTGCTCTCTCTCTGTACATTATGCGGAGTGAAGTCCCTATCATAAAGGGTTGCTAATTCTAGATCATTATCAACCATCAAAATAGAATTTACTTAGGTATGGGTTGAAACTTAAATTACATATCGATTCTTATAATTCAAGGCTAGAGTGACACATAAAAAAAAAAACAGAAAACTAAAGAAATAAATTGAAGAAAAAAATCCCCCACGAACCGGCCATTTCTTGAATACGGATCATATGGGTAAACAATGTACCATATATACAGTTATAAACAAACACTTGCCTCATATATATGTTGCTTATTATTAATGGAATGAGTTATGAGTAAATACACAAAATAATGCCTTACACAAAGAGTTGCAATCATCCCTCCGGAATGACAAACGAGTTCACCGGCTGAATTACCAA